GAAGATCTTTCCCTCCCTCTTGGCTTCCGTAACTATGTGCTATCAAATTTCCGCTGCGTGCCAAGGAACTGGTACTGATCAGGATCAATTTTATGTAAATTTTTTGGGAATAGGGGGAGCCACATTTTGTGGTTACACAGATATCCCATGGGATAACCTTGGAATCACCGTAAAATCTCTTCACTTTAAAATATCAGTGTTGCAGAGTCCAAAGTATTTTTTCTGTTTTTATTCCCAAATCGAAACATTTTTGAGGAAAAGTTGGATGTCTCTTAGCAAAGATTTTGCATTTGCTTTCGGTTACGGTGGGTGGGTGGGGGAAATTGGTGGTGGTATTTGTCTGCTAACTGCTGTTTAGCTGTGTATAATGAAGATGGTGACACAGCTTTGACTGCTTCATCTTCACTGAATACTAAAGGTTGAATAATTTTAATTGGGAGGAAAAAGCAAACACGTTGACTATTTAGAGCAGAATATTATACTTGTCTCTGTTTTTTTGACACTTCAAACTGTCAAAATTTTCCACCCTTGCAACCGTACCCATCTCATTCCCAGAGCTCTCCCTGCCTTTCACCAAAATAAAGAGAAGTAAAACAGTTTAAAAAAAAAAAGTACAGTTCAAAAAGTATGAATCTCTGATTTTATTCTTGAAATACACTTTAAGTCATTTAAATTAGTGCTTATTGTTCCTAATGTACACTTAGGCTAAGTAGGTTCCCCATGCAAATGCAGAAGAATTGCTTGCAGAATGAGAAACACATGAGCCCAGCATGTTACAAAAATCTTTAAACTATGTGGAGAGACTAGCTTTTTTTTTTTTTATTATCATAGTGCTAAGGCAGTAATATCTCAGCCACTGGAATTTCAGTGACACGGCCGGATACCTTTCTTGTTTTTCCTGGCTCGCTCCTCCTTCACACCTCTGCTATTTTTCTTGATGGGCAGAATATAGATTCTAGGGTGTCATTTACTCTAGCAGCTAATCTTGGTGCAATTTCTAATATAAGCTGCAGCTAATTGCATATGTTTTGTCTTCACAGCAATTTCCGATTCTTGATGATTGCTTTAGCCTATGCTATACCACTGGGTGTTTTCTCTGGCTGGTCTGGTGTTCTGGATTTGATATTAACGCCAGTTCATGTAAGCCAAGTAAGTATCTCCTGACTGATAATCAGCAGCTATTTTGTAAGTGGCATGTTTTTATTTTGCACTAGCATACAATTTTATCAGGTTTTTACATTTAAGCTGCTAGTAATACATACGGAGCACTTTTCTCCTGAAATTTTAAACAAAATAAACTGTAGATTTGGCATCCCAAAGTGTCACAATTCTCCCTGCTGACTCTCCACCAGCGGTGGGTGTTTTCAGATCTGTAGGCACCTTTTGACAAGAAGGAAGGGGCAGGTAAACAAATGAGAGTATTGTTGGCTGCTGCACCTTTAGTAAAAGAAAATAATGTTTACCAGGTGGAAAAGATGAAGTGGGGAGAAGAGGATTTCTAAGCTTTTGATAAAGTATTCTGAAAATCCAGAGGACCTTACTCAGATTCTATAAAGAGAGGTCACAATTAGGGCATAGGCTACTTAGTCATACTTTATTTTAGTGAATTTATTTCCTTTTGAATATCCTAGAAAAAGTCTTGCACTTCAGATTATTGTCAGGGGCTGTTGCTAGCAGTTTGCAGCTCCTGCACACCATTTGTTTTGAAAGTAACATCATCTTATTTTCTGAGCTTTAACACATTTCTCTACATTTTGTTCTGTTTTTCCTGTCAGGTAGATGCAGGCTGGATTGGATTTTGGTCTATAGTTGGAGGTTGTGTTGTTGGCATAGCAATGGCAAGGTAGGAATAATTACGTGTCCTTCTCCGTTTCTTCAACTGTGATTGTCATTTAGCTTATCCTTGTAATAACATAACTTGTTTTCTCTCATCTTCCAGAGACTTGAAATGGAAAAAGCATAGTTCTGGGGTTACGATGTGTTTCTTGTAAAGCAATGATTTACATATTCCGTTAGTGGTCGCTGGAGGTTGAGAACTCCGCATGCATGTGCCTCCATTTGGCAAGTCATACTGTTACTCCTGACAAGTGCTTCCTGTATGCTCCTTTTAAACACAGTTCTTGTGAATTCAGCTGCCTGGTATGAGGGAGAACCCTTTGTAGCACATTTGGAAAGCATTGAAGAAATTAGTGTCTGTCGTCTTCCATCAATGCTTTTGGGCATATTGGTTCCCGAAGGGATATTGGGAATGTAGCACAAGCAGCCTCCCCAAAATAATGTCTCGTTCCTCTACAGAGAAATTAGTCTGGGCCCGTTTTGGCCCGGCTGCTGGATTCCTATATGGCGTAACTATTTTTTGTGATACTGCAATGGGCGATATGATTATACCTATACTTTTTAAATATCCAGACACAGCTCTCTTTGGCCATCATGAATGCTGATGACACGGGGAGTGAAAAGGCAAGGACTGGATTGCCCTTCCAAAAGGCTGCTGCTTTTTCTTCATTGAGAATCCCATTT